TCTGTGTCTCATACTGCTTTCTTCATTGTTCAGTGGGATTATTGTTTCTTCTTCACTCCCCATCATGAAAATTTGATAATTTAACAATTTGATTGTGTGCATCCTCATTTCTCAGGGATCAACTTAGGACTGATCTATATCAAATGCTTAAACTGTGAATTTTTGGGGGAACTTCCAGAATGGGAGCCAATAGTACAAATATAATAGTATCAACTACATATATAATAGCATCAACTTCAGAATATTTTTTCCCTACTGAAACTCAGAAACCATACAATGGAAAACGAATGTTTTCTTCCATGTTTTCCCTCACACTGTTAAACTGATTGCATTTCTGAGCTTTGTTGTATTTGGAGAATAGGAGGAGAAATATTTTTTTTCTTTGACTTTTGTTTCACTTGTGAAAGGATGTGACAAAAAACATAATGGTCCAGCAATCTTCTCTTGATATTCAGGAAATTTTTGAAAGACTCAGAGGGTTCCCAAGATTGGAAACAAAGACAACAGTAGCATACTGTACATCTTGTCAGAAGGTTTGTAAGCTATTCATTTTACTTTAGAATTATAGACTGGTTTTCAAGTTCCAGGCTACTGGCTTCATTGGGGAGAGTTTGGGGGTTTTATCCTCTGATTCTTCACTTGGGTTAGAGGAAACAAAAGAGAGAGAAAGTATCTTGTTAAATGGCCAAGTCCTACTAATTCCCATCATATTAAAGAGCCAACTATATCCCATTTCAAAGTAAACAGATGTAAAGTGCACAGAATGAAACCCTGATTTAATAATGGAACAGGTTAATGTGCTTATCATGAGAAACATGTAAATAGAAAGCTTAAAATAGTTCAATGTGTAATACACTGAAATGAGAAATATGCTCAGATATAAATATATATTAAAAAAAAAAGAAGATATTTTGAAAATACTGATGAGAAGAACACATACACAGGCACTGTGTATTCCAAAACTTCTAAATTTTGGTCATCACAGGATTCTTTATTATCAATCCTATATCCAGTAATTTTAGATTTACTGTCCTTGCTTCTTATAAAATTACACAGAGACTGCTGCTTTATTCCTCTCCAGGACAGTAAAAAGCAATAAAATTCTTGCAGATTTCAACAGCAGGCAATTCAATAAAAGGCTATGTATATTTTATAAGTACAATAAAGACAGGTCTATAGCTGAATCATAAATGTTTTTTTTTTTGTTTGGTTGGTTGTTTTCTGCAAGCATCTTTTTTGGAGTCTGTTTTCAACACATGGTCTTCCCAATATACAGTTTTCCTTTTTCGGAGAAGCAGAACAAAATTTATATATCTGCAATGCATAATTTAAGTTTTGCTCAAGGGATTTTGCAGCATGCATGTATTTAAAATTTAAAGGTGTATTGGAACTCAATACTTTCCTATTCTTGGTTAGCACTATAAAGCTGCATGTCATTTTTTCTTGCGTTGTAAAGCATACCTATCTCAACTATCTCTACCATGTGGCATTCTCATCCTTCTGAGCAAACAATAAATATTTGATACAGTCATAATTATTTTCTGGAATATCAATGCTCAGATTTTTTTTAATTCTGCAGTAATGTCAGATAACATGGACATAAATGGGTTGGTGTGTTTCTGAACAATAGTGCTATCACGGATTCAGTGACAGTGCCTGTCTGCTAAAATATACAGCTTTATACAAATGTGAAACACAAATTTAGTGATGTGTAAATCAGCTATCCTTTACAATTACAGATGTGTAATTTTTTGTTCAAACTTGAAGGAAACATTGAAAAACTATGAACTGGAGTCAGATTAAAGAAAAATTGAGCACCCTTCTTGCAATATCTGAGGCAAGTTCTGCAGCACGGAAAATCAGAATTTTATCTGAGCAGGGAGTGTGACATCAGAAATCAAGCTTTCTAAACCAGAAAACTTTACTGTGTGACTAAGAAGAGTTCCAGGTACCAGAGGTTGCCCATTAGTTTGATAGGTAAGCCTGGCTTTGCACGTCAAGGTACTGTTGTCATCATATTAGATCAAATGAAGATAACAACTTTCAGGGTATCTGAACACTATGGGACAGACATGAATACACTTTTTGTCTGTCTGTGCAGGTAAAGCTGTTATAAGAATTATAAGATTTTATTTTTTTTACCAACAGAAATATCTGAAGTATCTCTGTCACAAAATCAAAATAAGCATGCTTTGAAAAGACACCTATGTCAGCCCATTGAACATCAAGAAAGAACTTCCTTTCAGTTGACTTATTAGAATATTAACTTCATAACAGGAAAAATGTAAATCCATCCACCTTAAAAACAAATCATTTAAATGAATCACAGCAGGGACTACAGAGGAAAAAAAAAAAACACAACACTGATATGAAAAAAAGCACTAAAGTCAAGGGAGAACAATGATGATCAGCAAGCTTAGAAGGATTAGGGCATGAACAGAAAACAAGCAAAATGAGAGTTAAGAACCATCTCAGCTTTCAGTTTCTACATTGTTACTGATTTGACGCCTTAGATACCATCCATTTTTAGTCCTCATCTGGCATTGTCATTTTGCTATTTGAAGATGTCTAATATGGTGACCATAGATTTCTGTACTTTGGTGGTTAAATATTAATGGGAATTACATCAGGCACATTAGTCCTAATTGCTTTTCTCCTTTTCAAAGCATTTTTTTTCAAAGCACAAATTTCTGGGACAGTGCAGTTAAAACTCCAGGAACTGCACCATCTGTGTCTTATAGCTGACCATGAGAGACCAAGCATTCTTTAAAACAAATGAAAATAAACAAATAAACAAACAAACGAAAAACCTGAAGAGAGATAAACTAATGAAGCTCCTGCAGCCTCCATGCATTCGGTATACAAGCGTTAATCAAGGACATGCTGTTGGCCTAGCCTTCAGCACCATCTGCTGGGTCAGAAAGAGATCGAACATTCTTGAGGCTTGCTGAGCTCTTTCCTTTGCACTGTGCCGTCTCACCCGTCTCACGCAGCCCGGGATCTTTAATCAAAGTTAAGTATAAAACATTCAAACAGCAATCAAGCGTATTTGTATTTTATTTATGCCAGAATTAACAGAAAGAGTCTAGAAACAATGCCTTCTGCATAACCTCCTGATTATTGCCTTTCCCTCCTTAGTGAAACACTACTATCTAAAGGGTAGTTGGTGGACAGACAGAAATTTCAGTAAACAAAGTTCACTGACACATAGCTTTAATAGATAAATATAATCATCTATTTTTCTTGAAAACCATTTCATAACGAGAGCCAAGGATTATGCATCCAGCTAACATTGAATTCATCACTATTTCTAGGTAAATTCAGAAAATCTAAACAGGGAAAGACTAAGAAAAGTATACCAGTTACTGCTTATGCCAGATAGCTCCAATTATTTTGCTGGACTTTCATACATACAGATATCTCAGTCGGGTTTTCTTTCTAACAAAACTGAACTGAATGAAAAACTTCCGAAACAAAATTAAATAGGCACTACTCTTGCTTACATCAAAAGTGTCTTTTAGAGAAAAAAAAAAAAAAAAAAAAAACAACAACAAAAAACACACACAAAAAACCCCACAAGTACTGCTGCTTCTTTAACAACTGTGGGAAAATGATATGGCACCTAACAGTAACACAGGCTTAATTTGAACTCCCTTTCCTTTTTTTAGAAAAGAGTCCCAAAGTTTCAGAAGTTAATCTTCCCCAGAAATAGAAATGCCTAGTAATCTGTTGTCTTAGCTACAGTACTGTCAAAAACTTACCAACTTTTTGTTTGGAGGCTCAATGTCTTACAGAAATAGAACTAGCTGTAGACTTATGAACTCCATTAGTCTTGTGGCACAATAACACTATCATGAATGCCACTGGTTTGTTTGGAGAGTTCAGAGTAACTTTTGATCTATTTTTATGCTGGAAGTTGTCCTTACTTGGAAACTTTGTGTATGTACTTGTTGCACAGCCAATTGAGTGGTCCAACTGTAGAGTAATTCTTGTTATGTAGCAGGGCTGCTACATCTGCTGGTAGCATGTGTAGAGCACGACTAAGCAGCCAGAAAACTGCTGGTTTGGTTCAATCACATGTTGGTCTCTGGTTGTCTCCTCCTGGAATTGTCTACATTAGAGATGAGCAGCAATTACAATTGCAAGGGAGAGTAGCGATGAAATAAAGAAAAATGAGGACTCTTTGGGGAAACCTTGTGGTGACAATACTACACATCCATTTCAAAATCAAACCACAGAAAGAAAGTAATATTTAAAGCAATTGTGCATTATCACAAAACCCTTAAGATAAGCGACAAACTAATCTTTTTAAAGATAGTGCCTTGATGTTGGTGACTTTCCAGTTGTTCACCTGCAGACATGACATAACATATTAGTAATTCTGTCTTGTCATTTATTTGCCTCTGCAGGGGATTCAAGAATGCCCAGTCCCTCCTGGATTTCTCAGCAGCATACAGGTTCCCAACGACTGGCATTTTTTCTCCCTTTTTATTGCTACTTATAACAATACCCATTTTTGCCACTTGACTAATTTTTTAGGCAAGTTCAAATTTCACTAAAAAAATTCCAACAGAGCTCACTGTTTCAGAGGTCTGCCTTGCTGAGACGCCCCTCGGGTTGGCGATCACCACCTTTCATTTTCAAAGACTTGGGAAAAAACCAGGGAAGAAGTACTGAGGAGATCCTAAGGAGGTGCACACAAAGCGACCGAGGAATTTCGCGGAGCGGAGCAGAGGGTCCTTTAATCAGATACCACCGCGGCCCAGCGGCGCGCACCACACTCGAGCCACACACTGCCGGCATTCGGCCGCCCGCGGCGCTCAGTCGGGCGGGACCGAAACGGATCGGATCGGATCGGATCCGCCCCGCCCCGCCCCGCCCCGCCCCGCCCCGCCCCGCCCCGCCCCGCCCCGCCCCGCCCCGCCCCGCCCCGCCCCGCCCCGCCGCCTTGCGGGCCGGAAGCGGAAGAGCCGTTCTCGGGCCGTCAGGTGACCGGGATGCGGAAGTCTTTCACGGGGAAGCGTTGTTTCCGGGGCTGTCCAGGCTGGTTGAGCTGTGTCGGCCGCATTGAGCGCTGAAGCTGAGGTCGTGGCCCACTATGAGAGAGACTCTGCGGCCCGCAGGTGAGAGGCTGCCCGAGCATAGGCCGCAGGAAGCCGCGAGGCTGAGGGCTCAGGCGGTGCGTGAGGCCTTCTCCGCCCTGCGGCCCCCCCCCCTCCGCCTCCCGCCGCTGCTGCCGCCTCGCGCGGCTTCTGCGTTTCTTTCTGCCGGGGGGCGCTCCCTCAGAGAGCCATGAGGCGGCTCCTGAGCCCGCCCCGCTCCCGGCCCTTTTCTCGGCGGCGATGAGCTGCCGTTGGGTTGTGGCTGTGTCGTGACGCCTCCGCGTGGCTCCCCGCGGCGTCCCTGCGGGGTCCCTGCGGGTGCTTCGGTGGGCGTAGGGAACGAAAGGGATTCCTTCGAAAGCTTGACGGAGGGCTGAAGTTGCCGTACGCTAGTTGTTTACGAAATTACTTTTAAGCAGATAATACGTGCCCTGTGTTTCAGTATCGCAGCGTGGAAGTGAAGCGTTTTCTGTGAGCTGCGCTAGAAAAACTTTTTTTTAATGAGCAAGAATAAAGAAAAAATGCAGCAATAGAGCAGGCTGTAGAAGAAGAAATTGAAACTTCTGGGGAAAAGAAAAGCATTTTTGAATGGCTTTACTAACAAAAAATTTCACTTATCTTTTGATAGCTTTGGTATTGTTTTTTTTTTTTTTTTTTAATGAAAATTTAAAACTTATAAAAGAAAGGCTGCTCCCACCCATAACTGTTTCTCTGGTGAATAACTATGCTAGGTACTTGCTGATATCTGGCAGCTTAGACAAGCAGGAATTATAGCAATTGCTCTTAAAGAGCAATTGAGGCGATATATTTCCTAAATAGTTAATTTTGCTTTTTTTTTTTTTTTTTTAGGTGAGTAGGAAAAAATAGAATCTTAAATCTGAGAATACTTTGAAAAGATGTGAATAAATAATGTGCCTACATTTTTTAAAAGTAATTTTAAAAATATGCATTTCATGACATGCACTGTATATAAGTGTCTGAAGTACTGCCGTAATGTTGTCAAGTGTTTTAAGCAAAGTTGAAGCACAGTTGAACTTGCAGACATTATCATTTGCATGTTTTAGGCTTCTTTTCACTTAATACGACATGGTAATTGTCTCAGAAGAGTGTTTATGTGAGGCAGTCACTGCAGGAAAGGAGCTCTCTAAACTAATTTTCATATTTTAGCTGAGAATTTTGAGATAGTGGGTAAACAACTCTTCAGCTGAATCATTGCTTCAACCGGTAAAGCAGTGACAATTCATGAAGATGTTAATGTTGCTGAATACAGGCAGTTTCAGTGCTGAGTTACAGAATTCTTACTCATTTGGTTGTCTTTCTTCTTAGTGGAAGCTCGTTTTTTTTCAGTCTTTACTGTCCCTCCTGCTATCCAGCAGGGGGAAATTTGTGTAAGGTTTTGAGAAAGAAGGAAACTGGTTAAAAACAGTGCCTTTTTACTTTTGAATGTATTGCTATCATTATTTACTGTTACAAGTGATTTCCATAATAAGAAGCTATTCCTTCCAATCTGTTTTCTTCAGAGATTCTACGTGAGGGAATCACATTGGTGCCGTACTTCTAATTTAAAAAAAAAAAAAAAAAAAAAAAAAAAAAGGCATTTGAAAGTATAATCTTTACTGTTCTGTAGGCAATGCTCACCTCAGTGTTTGAGGAGTTTCAGCATGTATTTCTTGAAAGTTTTGGTATCTTTCTGAGCCCGTGCTCTCTCTTCTATGTTAATCTTATTCATCTTGATCTAAGTTAATGGGAAATTATCTGTTTTCACCTGTGCTCTGTATGTTGTCATCCTTTTCTAGCTTTGGAACTTTAAAGAACGAACAGTGTGGCTTTGGGAGAGTGGAGGAAAGATGTCAACAGTATGAGCTGGAAACCATCTGATCAGTCAGGAAGGAATTATGTAACGATTGACTGTTGATTAAATGTTGTTGATTTACATAATCACTCCTGTGTAGACAGTATTTTGTAAGTACGCACTGCTGTTTTTCTTCCACTCAGTAGTCATACCATTGTGCCAATGAGCCAGCACTTGAATGCAGTGCATCTATTGAATTTTTCTATAGCTTGTTGCGCAGATATATACATTATACATTTATTATATACAAATTATATGAATTATTATATACAGTATATAATTATAGGTACTACAGTTACTTTACCGACTCTGTAGCAGAGTTTTATAATCGCGTCCTCTCAATTCCATGTTTCCATGGAATCAGTTAATTTCAGAGTACTGCTTGTAATGCGTGTTCTATTTTTGTACCAAGTACATGCACTTTTAAATCCTGTATATGTGTGCTCTTTGCTTATTAATTAGTATTCTTTCTATCTGTTAAAACTTTCTCCTACTTACCAGAAGCATCTTTATGGGAAAAACTGCTTTCTACTTCATAGCTCTTTTGGAATTTTGTTATGTTCAATTTACACCTCAAATTGAAAAGTTGCATGAACTTAGTTTATTCAGATAGTTAATGTTGGTCTTTCATTGTTACACTTCAATTTCTGGTTATTATTTCTGGTGATAACAATATGCACATTCGTATTAAACTTCAACATAAGATGTAACGCAGGTATTTTAATGAATGTTACTATTAAATAATTGTCAACTTTGTGATTGACATCTGAGTCATGGAAGCGTAAACATTAATATCTGAATTGCTAGCTGAGCTTCTGGTGTACGGTTGCTGAATTATTACAGGTATACAAGGTGTATCTCTCTGTAGCTCCTGCTGTAGTGGGCAAGTCTTCTTAAATAGAAGCAGCACAGCTAAATATGCTGGCATAGCAATTTGTTCCTCAGTACTACTTTCCGGAAAGAGAAAGTTGAAATCAAGGAGGAAGGGGAGGGGGGGGGGAGGGGGGGGCAGGGATAGAAATATAGCAGTGACGCAGGTTCTGGAAAATGTTGGAGTGACTTTCATATGAGTTTATAAGGAAACTGAGAGATTAATACTTTACTAAGCAGAATTTCTGATCTTTTGTCGTTTGCTTTCTTTCAGCACAACACTAAATTTGTAATGAAATGGAGTCTGGATCAAGCTCTTTCCGAGTGGAATTTCCAGATTTTTCAAGCACCATTTTGCAGAAGTTAAATCAGCAGCGCCAGCAAGGACAATTATGTGATGTGTCCATTGTAGTTCAGGGCCATCTCTTCAGAGCCCATAAAGCTGTTCTTGCAGCTAGCTCACCTTACTTCTGTGATCAGGTTCTCCTAAAAAATAGTAGGCGAATAGTCCTACCTGATGTGATGAATCCAAGAGTATTTGAAAACATTCTTCTGTCTACCTACACAGGTCGACTGGTAATGCCTGCTCCAGAGATTGTTAGTTACTTGACAGCAGCAAGTTTCCTTCAGATGTGGCATGTAGTAGATAAATGCACTGAAGTGCTAGAGGGAAACCCAACAGTTCTTTGTCAGAAGATGAATCATAGCAGTGACCATCAGTCCCCAAGCAGTAGTAGTTACAATGGCCTTGCTGAAACCTTTGAACTTGGATCTGGAGGGCAGACAGAATTCCACAAAGTGCAGGAACTGAGGGATGGTGAAAATGAAGAAGAGAGTTCTAAAGATGAGCTATCGTGTCAACTGACAGAACATGAGTACCTCCCCAGTAATTCTTCAACAGAGCACGACAGACTTAGTACAGGAATGACAAGTCAGGATGGTGAAGAAGGAACCAGTGATAGTGCTGAATATCAATATACCAGACCTATATATAGCAAACCCAGCATCATGTCTCACAAGCGGTGGATCCATGTGAAACCAGAAAGATTTGAACAAGACTGTGAAGGTGTTGATAATCCTTATGATGAACATCAGGTTTCTGAATCCATGAATGCCATTCAGGCAGATCATTCAATCCAGTCTTCAGGTGTTGAAGACTTTCATATAGCTGACAAAAAGATGGAAGCAGAATTTGATGAACAGGCAGATGAAAGTAATTATGATGAGCAAGTTGACTTCTATGGCTCTTCTATGGAAGAATTTTCTGGTGAAAGGGCAGATGGAAATTTAAGTGCTCACAGACAAGATCTTATGATAGCAACAGGCTACGGTGAAGGCATTGAAATGGCTGCAGGAATTAAAGAAGAAACGTCCCTCACTGGATTCTCGCATGCTGATAAGCTTTATCCTTGTCAGTGTGGTAAGAGCTTTACACACAAAAGTCAGAGAGATCGACATATGAGTATGCACCTTGGTCTTCGACCTTATGGGTGTGGTGTCTGTGGTAAGAAATTCAAAATGAAACACCATCTTGTTGGCCATATGAAAATTCATACAGGCATAAAACCATATGAATGTAACATCTGTGGGAAAAGATTTATGTGGCGGGACAGTTTTCATCGGCATGTGACGTCTTGTACCAAGTCATATCAAGCTTCTAAAGCTGAACAGAGTACTACTGAGATGAACTGAGACATTAGAGCTTACATTTGTTCAGTACAGTAATAAAAATAAACGAATTATTCAAATAGTGTCTGGTACTTGCTATTGTGAAACTCAAATTCTCAAAAAACAAGTTTTAATGATTACGGTGGTGTGAGCAGACCAAATGTTTTATTTTCCACAATACTATTCCAGGCGGTGGATGTGCAGTGGAAGTGGTTAATCTGAAAGGTGCTTACAAAATGTGTTCTGTAAGGTCGTCGTGACGTTAATTGCTATTACAACAGTATTTAGAAGCCCTGTTGTTTTCTGAGTCTTATAAATTGACAGTAAAACCTAGCTCTAAATTGACCCAAATTGTACAAGTATTTACATGAAGCAGGAATTCAAATAGCCTTATGGGGGAGGGAAGGGGGAAATAATATTAAAGAGAACTAGGATAAATGTACTAGGCTATGTGGATTGTCTGTTAATAAAATTTCTGTGATTCATGTTTTAAGGGAAAAAAAGTAGAATTTTACTTAAGGCCAGAGACTGCCAACGTAATCAATGTGCATCATTAAATAGCCTGCATTATTAACTATCCCTTATTGCAGTGCTTAATGAAAGACTGTGTTAAAGGTGGTTTGGCTTTCCTTTATCTGTCTTCCACTTTTTTTTTTAAATCTGTCTCCAGTAAGACAAGTTGCTTAATTTTGTGCTGGTTTCTCTTTAAAGAGTCTGCAAAGCACTTAAGTATAGTTGAGCACTATATGAACTTTAAATTATATTTAATGCAAATTTGTTTGTTCTTCCAGGGCCTAATGCTATATGAGTCTTGGCTTGATTTTAATTGTTACATAATGAGGGCTATTGAAGTGTGTATAATAAGTATATCTTATTTTTTTTAAAAGTAATATTTGGAACTTACCCAAAATGCGAAAAAATCTAAGATCTAACTGTATATTCACCTTTTTTGTGACTTACTACAGTAGCAAGTACCAAACTCTGTAGTTTCATAAATTGACTTGACGTTTATTGGTACAAAATCTTGTTTGAGAACTTTTATTTAGTTTTAGAAACATGCTTTAGGAAAATGATTTAGGCATTGATGATTCTTAGTTCTTTACTTGTTGAATAGTAAGAAGTAAGAACTATGATACAGATTCTTGGTACTGAACTACTGTGACTGGTTACATATGATCCTAAGTAGCCAGATCTGTTTACCTCTTCAAGTGAGGTTGCTTGTGGGGGGAGAAGGGAAGATGTAGAAATACAGTGTTTGGATCTGGTAATCGTGCTGCAGATCATGGTACCGTGCCCATGTCCAAGGTCTGGATTTTCACAGGGAAAGTGACACTTTTTCATTAGGATGAGGATCTCATTCTTGGAGCTAGATGGAGGAATGTTTGTAGTTTTGAGAGATGCTGCCAGCTCTGCAGGTAGAGTGAGTGCATCACTTACAAAGGTGGCAACAGGATTTTAGGGTTGAAAGCATAGTGCATTCCTATGCAAAAGCAATAACCCTTCTCTGTACTTTACTAAAATATAAAAAGAGTCTTTAGAGTATGCCTAGAATAGAAAGAAGTGATATCCAAGCATGGTGTTTGTGACGTGAGGAAAAAAGTTAACAAGTATCAAAAGCCTTCTAAACCTGTCTGGCCCCAGTTAATTCATTAAATCTGCAATGTGCAGGATAAAATACTTAAACAGGTGACCCTGTATGCTGAAGCAAAATCATGAAGGTAATGCCAATTTGGATTCTTTTTTAAACTCCTAATTACAACTTGTCTTGAGATGCAACCAAACAGTATCCTGAACATCAGTGTCTTGTGCAAGCTGGGATTTATTACTTGGCAGGTTGTAATTGCTGTCACTTCTTTTCTGGCATTCTACTTACAAACTTCAGTTTTTTTAAAGAGGCTCTAAATCTTCTAACAATTCAGATATTTTTTCACACAGAATGTTCTTAAAACAGATACTCCCAAATATCATGAATCCATTGCTGGCAATGGGCATGAGTGGTCAGCATCAAGGAGTTCCTATTCTTAGCACTTAATTGAACTCTAATATACCATGGTGGCCATATATATAACCCTTGTAATCAAGGTAACTAAACAGGGATTTGCTCATTAACACTGTAACCTGCTTTACGTATAGAAGCACTTTGTATTTAAAAAGTATAAAAAATATATATATAAAATTATGTTTTTTAAACTTTTAAATGACATTCCCTTTATGATTTATTTCCACACTGCTAACACTGTCTTTTTTTAATACTAAGAAAATTATGATGCTTGCCTGTTTACATAAGTATAGAGGAAAGGGTTCTTGCAGTCACTGGCCCGATTTTTCCATTCTTCAAGGCCTTACTCTGCATCCAGGGCGTCATTTCTGCAAGTACCATCATCACATTTTTGAGGAAGTCATATTCATGCTCATTTGAAGAATGATCTTATATATTGCATTGGTTTTCATACCCTTTCAAATTGTTATTTCAGCGTTGCATAAAAAGATGAAGGATGTCACTTCCCACTTAACCAATAAAAGGCTGGTCAGAAGCACCAGGATGAGAACCATGGTCAAGCAAAAAATTATAACCATTAAATCCAGACCACCTTACAGAGCTGCCAGCAAAACTGTTTCTTTTTACCAGTTTGGAATGACTTTTATATGGAATGTTTTGAAGTTGAAATTTGCTCCTATTTGCAGTTAGATTACTTTAAAATAAAGCTTTAAAATGTACCGAGAGAGACACTTTAAATGTTTTTATAACAGGTCCAGTAGATCATATTATAGAACCATATCCTCCTTTAGTGATTCAGCATGAATACTATTTTTTAAATATTTGCCTGTTACTGTTTTACTCTATAATATGACATCATCTGGAACTCCAGCAAAAGTTGCTGCACTGATTTTTTTTTTTTTTATTTTTTTGTTAACACTTGACTTTCTGATGTTAATTCACATGAAACCATCTGATGGAAGGAAAATATTGATAAGGTTATTACGAGAGTTAATTGAGAGTGTTGAGTGTTTAAGTGAAGCTTGAGGTACTTTTGTAAAAATGTTACTTTTGTCTACCACAGGCAAAAAGTTGACTTGGAATGCTTTTACAGAGCTTAACTTACTGTGTTTCAACAGACTTCTAAACACTGATGGAGGTATTGAGAAAAGAAAAACAAAAAATTAAACGCTTTCCCTTCCTTAGCTCACCTTAACTGATGCCTCTCTTCCTCTGGCTCTCTGGCTTCCTAATCTTATTTCTGCTTGTTTTCACTGGGAGTTCCTCTAAATCACTTCATTTCAATTCTCTTGGTGAGGTGAAAGTTTGCATAGGAGGTTGGGGTTATATATATCCTTGTTTCTTAGTGGGTGGCCCCTCCTGTGCCAGGCTTGTTAGTGTCACTGACCCTTGGTGTGGTTTATCCATGGGCTGTCGTTGTTCCTGGAGTATGCTTGTTCTTGGTTGGGTCACCCCTGGGGCTCATTTATTGCAGAGGTGTACCCGCTCTAGCAGAGCTTATCCATTGGTTGAAGTCCCATGGAACTTATCTAGCAGTTTTTCCTAGAGCACCATATGAACTTCTGAGGGTGGATCTTCACATGTGTCCTCAGTATCTCCTTTGCACATCTTCCCATGAGCATCTCCTCAGTTTCTCCTCATGTGTTTCTAGCTTTGTTTCCTCAAGAGTATCTCCTTTTTTAATTCTCTGCACCTCTTGCTAGCATTTATTGCTTGTTCTTAAATGCATTTCAGCAGAGGTGCTGTGCTGGTTCAAGATTTGGCATATAATGGACTGTTTATATCAGTTTCAGTGCTAGCTAGTAACTGTTTTGACAGGCACAGGGCAGTTTGTGACTATTGCCGTGTGTGCCACCTTTGCAGCCCACTGAAACCCAGCAGTTTAGGCCCAGGACAGCTTTACACAGTAAAGAAAGGAATGCAAATGCAGCTTCTCCTGAGCTGTTAGTCACTGCTGGGGCAGTGGCTTTGTTCAAGAGACTTTTTTTTTCCTGTCTGTGAGCAGGAGGGAAGTGATCAATGAGTATCCAAACGCATATCTGGTAAATTTCGTTCATCTGCCCATAAGCTTCTTTAATGATACAATCTTGAAACTTCTGGGTATTTTTATATTGCTCACTTCTGCCGTTGACAGAAGTAATGTGAATATCTTCTGAAAACCAGAATTATTGTACACACAGGAGGCTATCAAAATTTTCTATTATTGTGAAGCAATTCATTGTCCTGTCAGTGGAAGAACATCATCTGCTATGACAGCTGCATTCATTTGTATTTCATTCCAGTACTAAGCTGTTAATTACCATGTAATCTATGTAACTGACATTCCAAAAAAATATACAAAAACTCTTGGCAGGGTTAGGATGTCCTTTACGTATATATCTGACCCTTTTGAGGGAGAAGTTTTAATATTTCACACACCACTGTTGTAGATTTGTTGCTGTTTTTTAAGTTCACCTTCAAAGTTGCATGCAGCAACTATCTTCATTTAATGGATGAGCAGGTAGACTCTAGAAGGTACTGTCCATTACATTTTTGCTTTTACCTTTTCTTCATCTGAGATGTTTGTGTTTAAGAAACTTTGTCGTGTATCAAAAGCAAGGGAGGGTGATCAAAGCTAATAACACTGAAGTCCCTGTGCTGTTGAGTCTGAAAGAATGGAGTCACTTCTTGTAATTTCAGCACTTTTGTGCTGAAAGGTGAGGTGACCTTTCGCTGAATCCTGAGAGCCCCTAGCAGTATACTGAGTATTTTGCTTTAATAGAATTAGAACATTTCTCAAAACAGATGAAAGTTGCTTTTATTTTTTATCATTTACATGCTTCATTGGATAGCTAGAGCTCTTCAGCTATAAGCTGTAAGCTGACAATGCCCTAGGGGAAGATGCTGGAAAACAAAATGGTGTATTTTTAATGTGATTAAATGGTAAGTTCTAATTTTGCTTGAAGCCTGTGTCTGTTGATTGCTGCTTTTTTTTTTTTTGTTGTTGTTGTTGTTTTGCTTTGTTCTTCATGGGATTCCATATTTCTTCCAGAAATATAAGCGCTTATGCAAGTCAAGTGAATCTTCCTTAATGAGCTATATGTTTTTATTCTAAAAAGTCATTTATAATAGTAAAACTGCATATCTTGATATTTTGTGAGATGTTACGCTTGTATTGCAGAGGTTGGATAGATTTGTCTATAAATATTGCTGTCTTAATTGTACAGCATGGTTTTAATTTAATGTTACTGTTCAATATTTTCTTCTTATAGAAGAGTCTCATGCCCCCTTTTTGTATAACGTTTTAATAAATGTTATCTGTCAACTTTGTAATGTTTTCTTAAGCCTGAATGAAAGGAATGCATGTCTAGTACTAGTACTTAATATTTCACTTTTACCAAATTAAGTACTCAAACAATACTTCAGATCCAAAATTTGTTCATATATAACTTTATTAAATATGTGAAGAAAAAGTTGTAATGTGTTTTCTTGAAATACCGAGCATGCCACCCTAGCCTAAGAAAACAATAAAGAAAAAAACTGATTTTAAAAACTGTTTTTTAAAACAAAGGTAGTTGATAACTTTCTGGAATTGATGCCAGTTTTATTTGCAGCTTAGATAATTAGTTGTCACGTGAGTCTGAATTATAATAAGTACAAACTTACAAAAACTCCAAAACACTCACCTAACAGTAGCAGCAAGCGCGCATTTAGTTACACTTTCTGTATACACAAAAGAAAAAGCCCAGAGTATTGTGCCTGTTCAGCAGTAGTTATTTGATTTTCAGTAATAGGTGTTTTATTTAAGTTTGCTGTTTATGTCCTGGTCAGCTTACTCAAGCAACTTTGCCACGTTACAGTGGAGCACCTGATTTCTGAAGATCATCTTCCACATGCTTTACAGGGAGAGAAAGGCTTGCCTTCAGAAGATAAATTGTGATGTCTGAGTTGCAGGTGATTATCATAGCAGTAGTTGTCCTCCATGCAGTGTTATGGCAAGCCATGAGTTTAGAAGTGAACTGTTGCCTTATGTATGCTATGAGCATGTGCAGGGGTGTGAGGGAAAAGGACAGCGTACCGCAGGTGATCTTAATTCCTAATTTATGACGCTGAATAGAGGCAGTTCACACCTGGGGTACGGAGGAGTCCCCACCCAACCTGTCCCAAAGATTTGCTTGCTGCCTCTCCGTGTGCTGGAAATGGATTTGTCATCGACATTGTGCCTGGCAGCCAGGGTGGTTGTTTTTTGGGTTTTGGTTGGTTTTTTGTTTTCTAAGAAGCTCTCAAAATACATCCGATCATATATTTCCAAAAATAAGTATTTTTGGAGCGATGCTAAGCCGTTCATAGTTTTTGTTTTCTCTTTTCCAAATTCCTCGCCGCTGTTAATTTTTGAAGGCGTGTTATGAAGCCAAAGACAGACTTTTAGGACTGTACGTGCTCGTGTTACCCAGAGGCTTCGACCACGGCTTTGCTCCTTCCTATGGCAATTTTACTGCGCAGCACCCTGCGCACCTTCCAAGCTCCGCCAGCCGCGCTCCGCCCGCGCTCAGCGGCGCCCTCGGGGGGAGCGGGGCGGTGCCGGCGCACGTCACCAGGAAGCGGAAGCAACGCCAGCGGAATAATTTCCGGGTGCGAAGAGCTGTGGGAGCGGGCGGGAAGCGACGGTGGGAGCGGGCAGGAGAGGGGCCGGGGACCCGCCATGTGAGACACCCTGACAGCCCCAGGTGAGCGGCGAGCGGGCCGGGCCCCGGGGCTGCGGCGGTTCTCCCGTGGGGGCGGAGGCCGCTCTCGGAGCGGGGGGTTCCGGCCCCTGACAGGCCCCGTAGGGGCGGCGGCCCCGCGGGACAGCCGCGCGGAGCTCCCGGTTTGCCGCCTCGCGGCTGCCGCTATCGCTGCCCCGCGCTGGGCCGTGCGGGCGGCGGCTGCGCTGCCGCTACCGACCCCTGCGCCGCCGAGTTCGCTCTCCTCTCAGCTGCATCTCACAGGGAAACTGTCGCCGCGTAACCTGAGTCTGTGACTTACGTGGTTCCGATTTGCAATTAGACAGGACGAATGCGAGTGCGCCTGGGCCTTTTCTTAGTCTGAACGGGGCATGGCATAACGGGCGCCCCGGGCCCGGCTGGCTGCAGTGCTCCTGGACCGGCATCGTCTGAGCAGCTGCTGCCAGAAGTTGGTACGCCTTTCGACTGCCGCCGCTCCACTTGAGGAGTTGGAAGTTCTTGATAGGACTCGGTCTGTGCAGTTATAAGGGCCACGCAGAAGCTTTGAGGTGCATGGCATGCACGATTAGGTTCATTTCAAAATAAAGCAGAGTTTAAGGTGAACCTGGAATAAATTGAAACTGCCCCATAAACATGGATGTGGGAAATTCCAGACGCAAGGAGGGAGAGGAGGAAAAAGTGGTATAGATACATGCACAGTATGTACACACTATGTTAGCCAATTATGTCTGTGATAATTAATGATTTTTCATTATAATATATAAAAGCTCAGTCTTTTTGCATTTCATAAAGCCCTGGATGTGCATATATTGCACATCTGATCATGCAATCAGTTGTTCATTTGATTTTAATAATAACTTCTCAGGATGTATCTGAGAGTTGTCAGACATTTAGGAAATAATAGGAAGTGTGGGATATAACTATTCAGGATTAAATTAACAGTATTCTGATGCTTCCATATTAGGAAGTTGGTGCACAGAAGAAAAGTTTGTGGTTCTTACTTTTAAGTTCTTACAGATTTGAGGCATATTATCATGAATGTGCCTTTGTTTTACTTATCTGACAATACTTATGCTGATTTTTACTTATAGTTTGCCTTCTGGTATTTTTTCCCCATTTTTAGGATTTGTAATCGCTCCTATAGTTTAAAAAACAAAACAAAACAAACAAACAAAAAAAAAAAAAACAAAAAAAAAAAGAGAGAGAGAACTAATTGCTTTCATAGCCATTTATTTTTGTGAGACTGTAGCAGAAATGCTAAGTCATTGCCTGAAACAGTGATTGAGCACCTGGTGGGAAGGCAGGGCCTAGGGGAGCTCAGGTGCATGCAGTGCACTGAGTGACCAGAAGGGATGGAGCCAGGATCCACCCCTGCACCTCATTTAAAGGTTGGCAGAAGAGGCCTGACTGTCTCCATGATCATAGCTGATACGGATTCATGGATTAAAAATACTTTTGAATGATAATGTGTTTCTGCAATAATGTCTTAAGTTCTCACAGATGGTGTAGTAGATACTGAAATCTACAAAGTATAAGGAAGGATAATTTGAATCATTCACCTCTCAAAGAGAAAGCGAATTGTATATCAGGGCATGAATGATGTTAAACAGGTGCAGACTTAGAAGCAGAAATTAATACCATACTGGCAAATGCACAGCTTCATGTTGTTACAGGATGTTTCACTGATGTTACTGTATGATGTCAGTAAAATGAAATACCGACTGTGTTTTGTCACTATCTATTCTTGCTGGCTTTTTGAAAGCGTAATTAGAGCTTCTGTAGAACATAGTTTTAAAAGTAAGTTGTGTTTTTGAAATCTAATGAGGAATGTTTAATGCATATCATTCTCATGTTCACAGGTTACTTCGATCAACACTTAAGACGTAGGGCAGCGATCCACTGCTAGCAATTCATACTATGACTTCTGTTCACTGTATAAAACTCCAATGAATAAATATAATGCCAATGCAAAGAGATTTATATTCTTTTGTGTGTGACTGGATGATCTCTCACAGAAATAAGCAGAGAATTCAACATAGCACTGCTGAAACTTAGTCAACTCAGTGTGCAAATCTGAGTTGCACTCTGATGAAATGTGAAAGCCCTCAGATAATTTGTTGTACGTGTGCCTATGAAAATGTTAAACAGTTTGATCCGTTTATACAGGTTAGCAAAAGATGTAGACAGGTGCCTAGAGCGTGACTGAATTTTTACAGCACTTTATCTGGTGTTAAACTGTCGAATAGTCAGAGATGGAAACTGTCCAGACTGGTGTTTGTCATGACTGTATTTTAATGTTCTTTTCAACCAAGCTCTTTTCAGTTTTACCAAATAAGAATCTTTAAGGAAGTATGAGATAAGGAGGAATGCCGCTGGCATTCCCATATGACAAATTATTTCTGCACAGTCTACATAAATAATGAGTATCTTCTGATAGAGTTAGGCTAAAGCTTGACCAGGTTCTTGAGATGAAGTATCTGCAAAGATGCAGGATTGCGAAGTGTTGGTGGAGACTGATCTTAGGGTTTGTACATAGTCCTCAATCCAGGTAACACATCTGCCCATGTCACTTCAGGTCATCAAAAGCCCTTCAGTTTAGCTAAGAAGTGTTCAGTCAGGAATGTTGCATTTGCTTGTAGTACTTAAGCCCCACAAATAAAGATAGAACCAATGTTTGGTTAGTAAGTAAACCTAATGCCTTGCCAAATGAGAGTGGTGTTGATGGGTATGCATCCTAACTCATGAAAATTCAATCTTCCCCATGGTGTGGGCAAGCTAGAGACTTGAATGATGATTCTCTGCACAGTATTGAGGGATGCTTAGAATACCTAGGTTTATCTTCCTGTTTAACCATTCACTTGTGTTTTATGTTTGTTTTTATGTTTGTTTTCTGCTCTGTCTGGCTTACTCTCAAGCACAGAATCTGTGAAAGTGATTCAGTGACTGAAAGAATTGTCCTGCCAAAGCTGTCTTTGCATGGATGGCTGTGGTCATATAATTTCTGGAAACCTAATCCTTATTTCTATCAAATGTAAAATCATGTAAAACATCTCTTGTCCTGGTTTTAAATACCAGTTACTAAAACTCCAATGAAGCACAGTTTACTGAAGTTTTCTCAGTAATGCTCATCAGGTCAGGAAGGTGGCTATCTTGTTTCTTGCCTATTTGTAAAGACAGCGAACCTTAGTTTTAGTGACAGTGATACAGCTCCAGTTCTTACTTGTAAGCTTTTTATAATATTCATATTGATTTTTGCTTTTAGAATGCGTGAATTTTCATAATTCAAGTTGTTCATGTGCCTTATTACAGCATGTAACATAAGACAAAAATGGGAAAAAAAAATCCACTAGTATGCTGTGATACATTGACCGTGCTTCCTGCATCAGGAGTCAGTGAGTGACATTGAAATCAGATTAGATGTTGGTCCAATTGAAAGAGCAGATATGGTGGCTCTATTGTGTGTTTATACTACTGTATTAGTAGGAACAAGAATGACAATGAAAGTCTGAAGATTCTTGGGTACTTAATTAAGGGCATATAATGTAAAGTGATATCTGCTACTTACACTCTCAAGGGAAAAATGTTTTTTAATTCTTTTA